CTTATTATTTCCAATAGACAATTAATGTAAAAAGCAAATCAATTTTTATTGGATAAAAACTCTTATCCACTTAACCCTTCATTAAATATTATATTATATATTTATATTATATATGGCGTATTCTATCAGATAAAAAATATTGATCATCATTATAAATCTATTAAAATTTTAATTAAAATAGTTTTGCATTTGCTGAACTCTATCGGTTCCTAATAATAGTGTGAGGAATCTTGATAGTGGAAAATAAAAAAATTAAGTAGGTTAAGCGATACGAAAAATACTTTCTTTTGTGTCTTTTATACCTAAAAAAAGAATTTTTTGAAAGAGATGTGATCTCCAAAGAATTAGTTGAACTATAGTCAAAGTTAATCGAGAACTGGCGAAACCGCCCCTAAAAGTCAGGAAACTGAAGTCAAGTATGTGTTTAGCTATGAAAATTACATAGTGCTACAGAATAATATATCATTATAGCGATACGTTTCAATCTATCGCACTTGCAAAGTCGTCTTCTGTGCGCGAAATTATAACGTTCGATAAATCGATATTTGGAATAAGCGGGCGTAATTGTTATACGCAGAAATAATCTATACGTGGTTATATTTGGTGCCTCCCCCTCTCCCTTGAGATCGTGAATAATGAAGCGTCGATAACTTTGCAGCCGGTGGATAAAAAGCCGAGAATACCCGAGAGCGAGATCTTGACGACCGGCACCGAGGATGAGGAAGCTTCCTCTGCGCCTGAACGAGTTTCCGTGCAAAAGAATCTCCGCTTCTTCGGCGATACGGATCAGGAGTCCGTCTCGTCCAACAGAGACCGCAGGTAAATGCCGCGTATGCACCGGTTAAATATTTCGTGCAAGAGTGATTTAAATATTTCGACTGTCGTCTAATTAACTTTTTTATCATTACATTTTGCTCTAATTAATATTATTATAAACAAAAATACAATTATCTATTCCTGCTATTCATCTTGCTTTAATTATTTTACGCACATATATCGGATATTATTGTTCTTAATATTCGATTATAATTAATTATATCAAATATTCTAAGTAATTGTTTCTTTTCCAAAATTAAAAAATCTTATCATATTCTTTTAAAAAAGAATAATGTATATATACACGTACATATACTGAAAATAATTTGTTATATCAATAGCATTATTTTAATTGAAAATAATGTTGTTAATTTAATAACATTATTAATAAAACAAATATGGCGTTCTCTTGTTTTGATAAAATTTTATTTGTTTCATTAATACTATTGTTAAATCAACAAGATTATTTTCAATTAAAATAATGTTGATATAACATCATTTTTTCAGTGTATAATTAAATAGTAAGAATATAATTTAGAGTATTGAGCATGTGATTTTTTTCCTATGACAGAAACGTGAAAGGTGAACATTTTTTTATTTGTGTGAAATTTTTTTTATTTTTCACATTTCCGTTTTAGAAAAAAAGTTACGTGACCGATGTGACTAGATCATAAAAAAATTTAATTAATTAAATTAATTCATTTCAGAAACAAACGAGTTGACGACCATGCCCGCTCGAGGCGTGATGTCACGAATTCGAACCGCTATAATTTAGGTATCATATCAGCCCCAAGGAAATCTTCGAGACTCGCTGAAAGCGCATTGTCTTCGGGCGAGAGTACAACGGGTGATAGTAGCCAACAAAGTCAAAATTCTCAGAGATCACAGAGATCTGTAGTGTATCTCCATGCTGCTACAGGTATAATAAAAATATTTCTCTAATATAGCATTCGTAATTATTGTAATTTTATGTTATATTCGAAGAGATTTGCAACATTATAATTTATTTTTCAGTGTGATATATTTAATTTCTTATTTAAAAAAGATCCAAAAACCAAAAATTGAAAAAAATAAATAATTGTTGAATTTGGTGATTATTTAAATCGATATTATATCGTAGCGAAAATATCAAGATATTATTGGTAATTATTTACTCTAAAATATAAATACACAAAATATCTTTTGTGAATTAACCTTCGCAGATTAAAATAAAATAGTATGTTTTAAATTGAAAGTCATACAATTAGAAATTAGAAAGTAATAAAAATATATACGCTTTATATTAAATTTGTGCTAATGAAATATTGATCAATCCACTTAAAACAAGTACATATGAACTTCTTCAATATCTTATATATAATATAACGTTTAACTGACAAGTTATCACTACCAATAATAGACATGCTCTATGAAGCGTATCGTTCAATGAACACTTGAATTTTGCAATACTTGTCACATTTGCGTCATAGGAAATTTATAAAAAAAATATATTACACTGGTTAGTTATTTAACTATCAATCTATATAAATAATGTTCAGCAGTGAAGGTGTAGAAAATGTCAAGCGTAACCGTATTCTAATTACGACTCAATATCTGCATTTCAGTCGGCGAAATACCAGGCCCGAACGAACGACGCAGGGCGGCAAGTCGCGAGGAGTTAAATCGACCATTGCAATCACACACGAGAACGGTATCGAGAAGCGTGAGCGTCCTTGCTCCGTGGAAGCCGCGACATTATAGGGAACCGTTCGAGATCAACTATGACCAGCAACAGCATGCGAAACCGATCGCGACCATGAGACGTAGACAACGAAGCCGCGAAACCCTCAGCCGCCGAGGAAAGGAAGCTCGGCGAAGCAAAGACAATCTTTCTAAGACAAGTAAATGATCTTACTTTTGAGCAAAATAATACGATAACCTGTTAAATAAAATATAATCTTTAAAAAGAGAAAATTAAATGGCAATGTATTTTCTCTTTTTTTTCTTTAATTTTTAATAATAAAAATTCTTAAGTATTTCACTAAGTAAATAAGATTGTATCTTTTAATATAAATATTTTTACAATGAACTTAATTAATTTTAAATAGTTTTATTCTTTTAAACTTCAAGATAAATAAAAAACTAAATATTTATAAGTTAAGAAAAATAAATTAGATTTAATTAAAATTTAATCATTAGAGAGCTTTGTGCAAACAATCTGAACAAATGCTAAATTATCTGAATTTGCTATTTTTTTTCAGTTCATATTTTATCGAGTTACTATTAATTCATCAATGTAATAACCCTATTTAAAAAATGGAAATATTCATGTCACTCATTGCAGGTACGATCAATCGCAGCACGTTAAAATCGAAGGACAAGCAGAAAGTGGATAGAACTGTTTCCACGGAATCGCTGGCCACCAAATCGCGAGGCATAGGCTCCAAGGTGGAATTAAACAGATCCACGTCCGTGCCCCGTGATCCGAACAAGAGTGCGGGATGGTTCAAGCTAAAGAGCAAGAAGTCCCGCGCTTGAATTGGACGGCCATTGATCAATGCTAGTCTCGAGTTTCATAAGTGTAATCCGTAATTTCGTAAGCGATTAATAAGCGTCGATATCCGGCGCGCGCTGATTAATAACGATGCGATTTATCGATAATATACACCTTTTAACATGCACGTCGCGCGAATGTCGATCGCGACCGCGCGAATTTTTAATTTTTTAACCGAGTAGCATATGATTGCGACAACGACGTGTAAATTAATTGCTGTCAACACGTTGATCAATTTTGCGAATTTATGGAATTTCCGTGCTACCTAAGACACAAAGTTTTAATCCCCGCATAAATAGATCTATATATCTATACGTAACAGAATAAAAACAATTATCCAAATATATACATAGGCACATGTAAGAAGATTTCAATCTCAATTACGCGTCAAATTAATATTGTTATGCTCTTTGCGCATTAAATAAATAACATTCTTTGTAACAAAGGAGATTGCGAAAGAATGATCGAATGTAAACTCTTGAGAAGTATAAAATTAAATATAAAGTATATTCTAAAATGAAAATCTTCTCAATATGTCAAATGTTACTTTATTTTAATAGCTTTCTCTCTGCCAAATTTAATGAATTAAATTTGTTGCGAATGATGAGAAAGTTTATAATATGTTCGCATCGTGAATTAACATTTCATCATGCATTAACTTTTGTTTTTCCTTCAGGACTTGACAAAAAGTGCTTTTATCATTTGATGTTTTTTTCATATTTTCACATAATTAAATCCATGTGCGTTACGCATTTGTGAAAAATTAACGCGTCACTTTATTCTACCGTGAATCAAAGTGCCATCTTCATTTTTCTACATTCCTAGTATATATACACTCTCTGTTAATGAATCAAAATTCCCGAATATATATTCTGTAACAAGCAATATCTTTCTTTACGATAAACATTAGCGAGAAATTCAAGAAAAAATATTTTCCAAATTTCATCTTGACAATGAGAGGGAGTATCTCGATTTACAAAACGGACAGTTACATAGCGATATCTACTGAATGTTTTCCTATGCATAGATCAATCTCATCTTTGCATGTTTATTGTATATAAATACTTGTGTTGATAATCATAATTCTTAATCTATTTTTATTAGGACCTATGTGTTTTCATTATATATATATAAAACTCTTGTCTCTGTACATTCATGGATCACAGATTACACATACACTGTTGCAAAATTTCCACATTCGACACAAGTCGAGAGACGCTTTCGTCATTTTTTTTATAACAGTGTAGAGAAATAAAACGCGCGACGCTAGACATTATCTGTTATACTGTGATACGCTTTTGCGTGTGGACAAAGAAACAAATTAAATACGGCGACATAGTCATCTTGCACCATAATTACTATTTCATTCCTACCCGGTGCTATCTACGTGTGTATGTGTACATATGGATCATTAAACGATATGCATGTAAATATCATGAATATATATTGACGATATTGTACGGAATTACGAATAAAACCTATTACCTATTAACACAGACATTGCTCCTCTTTATAAGATGCGTTAAACGCGAAAACCAATATCGAGTATCTTGTAACAAAATTAATAAACGCAATAATGTAAACTAGCATATCATTAATAATAAAATATATTAATGTTAATATGCTTTATAAAGAAGCAAAATCAAGTGGATATCGTGACTTTGCTTTATTAGAAGAATTTCAATTCATTGTGTTAATCATTGTGGTACTCACATTACACAGGATGGATGTGGATTAATCGGCAAGTAGTATGGATGAACAGGAAAAGGAAGGATAACGATGCGTGCTTAATGATCGTCGTCTTAAATATACAAATCATAATTCCACAGTTTTATTCAGTTTGTCCCAACAACATAACATGGTTCCGCACAGCACAAGTATCATTCCCAGATAAGTATCTAAAAAGTAAAACAGATCATAAACAATTAATAATTCAAAGCATTCTCTAACGATGAATATAAGTTCTCGTGTACTCACTTCTATGCACTTTTTCCTCGCCCAGGAACCAGCCTGTGATCGCAGTAAATACGAAGGTAAGAGAATTTGAAACTGGCACAGCCAGGGATAGATCGCTACTTTGCAGAGTCAAGAAGTACAGTACCGAACCGCATTGATTAAGGAGAAATGGCACGATGTACTGTATAAAAAAAATTAAAATGATTACAAATAGTATTACTCCTAACAAATACTATTACATCTAGCAAGGATAATTGAACTGAAAATTTGAAAAAAAAAAATTTCTTAAGTATTTTTTAATTTTTCAACTATTTTTGTTTAAAATTCAAGATAATATAAGAGAGTTTTTTGATGCAATTTGGAATAAAGGAATGAAATTAGAGTACGAGCAACGTAAACAAAATATACATTGAAAATTCGTAGAAGACAGGAGTTTTCACAATAAATACATTTTTGACTGTATCTATTATTTTCTACAATTAGAGCCACGAAACCTATAGGATATATAAATTGTAAATGAATTACTCTATTTTGCTGAGTCTTCTATTGTCACTTTGATTTCTTTTTGATAAAAACTCGTGAAACATATATGAAAATAACGAATATATATATATCATATTTATTGCTAATTGATTCTCAATATTTTGCACTATCAAGAAAAATGATCAAGAACTAATATTTTCAAAAAAAGATAAAATTTAAATTTAAAAATAAAATTCTTAAAATTTGTCCTAAATTCCAATAATAAAATTCCATGAAAATTTCTGATTTTCAAGAGTAAAAAAGAAATCTAAAAATTTCAGGTTTTCCAGGTTTTTCTAAATAATAAACATCCTGTGTAAGCTAAAATTGTTTTTAATATTATCTATCATATTAATGTCATTTGTCAAAATATTGAGAAATAACATCAGCTTGTTTGTTGAGCTCTTCTAATCTATATATAACTGACAATGAGAAAGTATCTATAAATATCATGTCTCTCCAGATTAATTTGGTAAAATGTATGTAAAGATACAATGATTACCTTCAGATTTGTAATGAGAAATAACTGCTCCTTAAAAAATTGTCCATAAACTGACTTGGCCCTGATATCTTCTAAACCTTGTGCACCTTTCTTTATAAATGGATTGGTTACTCCCCAAAGAATCGCCACAAAACACAGATATATCACAGAATCTACAATATTAACACACACGTTGACATTATCATTTCAACATATTGTTTGATATCACTGAATCTCTGTTTTTATTTTTTTCTTTTTATTTCTCGTACTCAAAAGATTATTTTTCAACAAACAGAAAATGGTTATTGAAACTGAAATAGCTCACCAATAGTAACTGTCATTCTCGTTAGTTATCTAATATAGAACGTTGCACGCATCGAACAATACACTGCAAATCATGTCACGAGAATTAATACGTTGAATGCCGGTATCTACAACAGAGTAAAATTTTTGTAATTTTATTAAATCCATATTTTATATATACAAGTAATTATATTAATATCACGTAATTCTACGAGCTTTAGATTTTTCTTTGTTTGATCAGTCACCAGTCAGCATATCATTGAAAGTTAAAACGCCGATCACATTATAGATGCCACGATCCGACACATTAGTTAAACATATTACGGCCACAATATAAGACTGACAACGATCGAAACGCATAGACCATAGATGCATTGTTAAGGAGCCTTTACATGGAAGCGTCAAGCGTCGAGAGTGAAAAGACACCTTTACGAATTAACGTCGTTTGTTTCAATTATTCACGGCGATATACACTTTCCGCCGAACAAGTTTTACGAAATACGCATTCGAGAACGGATCATTAGTATACAAATACTGAATCTATAGTTACGCAGTAGTTAAATATCGATAAATGGTTAAATATAATTTTTATATAGGTTCTAATTACCATTATTTGATCGCGCTGCCACTCGTTTGAGAGCCGTTCGTTCCACTGTGTCATCCGCCGCATTCCGCGAATGAAACATGAACGCGATCGAAATAGAGAAACGTAGTTTTCCATACGCGGCCAACTTCACGCGGAAAAAGCGACGCGAGACTCGACGGCACGACGCGTCTTGAGTTTCAATCAAATGAGAAAAATATTTTCGACTGAATAATCATGAATATATTAGTACTACTAGAATCTATATTACGCGATATTAAAATTGTTATCCGAAATAAATGCAAAGTTAATTACACACTTCGTATCGTATTAAACTGTCGCCTACAAGTTTTGCACGAGTAACATAGATAATAATATTTTTATAATACATAAGATATTTTAAAACTTTTTGAAAACATAAAAACGATAGATTCTTAAAGTATTTTTCGCGTCGCGCGTGTAAAAATTTTAATAATTTAACAATATTTATTAATTGATATTTACCTTGTTGGTAAATAATTCCAGTGATCCTTCGAGCCATTTCTCGTCGTTTTTCTGATAGGAGTGATAAGGATTCTGTGCAAAGATCAGGCTGCTTCTAGGAGGAAATAAGGTAATAAATTCGAAGCCAAGGTTGCGAACAGTGCGAACTAAGAGATATTCCAACGTAATCTGACAGAACGTAACTCTGCCCCCGGCCGAATCGCAAGAGCGTTCTGCTGCGAGTCACGCGCTATTTATACGCGCCGTCAGACTTCGAACCCCACCACTCGCATGCCAGCCAATGAACGCGGTGTGTCGCTACGGATGCGAATTCGAGCGCTCATTGGAGCGCGCTAGCTTTCGGTTGGACGTATATAATTAAGCGCGACGCAGAAAAAATTTTATTTCTTTTTGGAACTCGGCGCTGCACGTTTCGCGAAGAGAGAAAAACCTATATGTATTGAGAACGCGTTTTTTGTGATATTGTATTAGCGCGTATTTAACACATAGTTCACATTGTAGAATTTTAAACATAAAAGCGCGTTCTAAATACGGGTCAGAAATTATATTCTTTTTGAAAATTAAAAAACTAATTAGAATAAATAGATGAGGGCTATCAAAGAAATTGTATTAAAAAAAATCGAATTTATAAAGATAAGTAATCAATTTTTAAAATATGTGCAAATCAAAATTATAAATTAATGAAAAATTAATGTTTATACGTTTATCAAAATTTTCGAATCGATAGTTGTTATTCGTAACTGATGACGAATTGAGAAAAATTACAAATTTCTATTTCAATTACAATTTTTTAGAAAAAGAAAAAGAAGCATATTATAAATTATAAATTGCGTATCATTCAACATTGAGCAAATATATAAATATACTTAAAGTTGTATAGCGAAATTTTAAATCAAATAATGTAGCAGTACTTCACTGAGTTTTACAATATTTGATTGTTAGGTCATATTATGATATTTCATTGTATATGAAATGGAAAACGATGTTAGGTTTTTTTTGTATATACACGGCATCAGAAAATGAACGAAATTATATATTGCATTAATCTTGCAAACTGTCGAATGAACATAATGATTATTTATATTATGATGCATTTAATATTTAATAAATAAAACTAAATAAAGTCATTGATATTAATAACTTGATTTTAAGAATATTATTACAAAACTTTATAAGTAATATGTATATTTTTTTAGAAATTTAGCACATGACTGAGCACTGCGACAGAGAGAAACCAAAGAAATCATGTCAGTCTTTTTCTTATTATTGTTAAAAATCATTCGTGATTCTCTGTGCTATGATTTTATCGACAGAGTCAGAAAATGGATGTAGCTATGTAGTTCCAAACCAAAAATGGATGTACTAGCGATAGTGTACGGGTGATATCGACGGTAAAGATTTACATCTCATAAAACAGTGAAGATATCATGTCACCTAACCAGATCTTGTGAGACAGATCGGTGTAAATAAAGATATATCAAGTATTTAATCCGCATCAATTTGATACACGTACCGATTTAACAGTGTAAAAAGGATCATACATAATAATATTTATATATAGACAAATATATTTTTCAGTTTTATATATTGCATACCATTTTGATTTGTAAAACTTGAAAACACAATTAAATTGAAATTGGAAATAACATCACACGGTGCATTGAGTATAAATTTAACAATGAAGCTAATAAACATCTTAAAATACTATAAAAAACTTATATTTTCTTTTGTTTTCAGGTCATAAAATTTGCAACAATTTATTGAAAATTTAAAGAATCTTTTCTTGTATTATTTTTAAATTTTGATAATATTACAATATATAATAGAAACATGAGTTGTCAAAAAGGAAATGCTAATCGTTCGAGGCCTCAAAAATATCAAAATCAAAAATCGTTTAAAAATAATCTATATGACAAATCTCAAAAAATAAAACAAATTAATAGCACCGAGGTTACCAATGTATGTGAACGTTGCAAAAAAATAATAGAGTGGAAGATCAAATACAAAAAATATAAAGTCCTTAAAGCTCCAATGAAATGTATTAAATGTGAACAAAAAACTGTGAAACATTCTTATCATAATATCTGCTTGCTTTGCGCCAAGCAACAAAGAATGTGTTCAAAATGTGGACAGAAGACAGAAATCGTACAAGGAACATGCAGGAAGGAAGAACAAATTAAATTGGATGCCGAATTTAACGCAATTTTGAAAACATTGTCAGAACGAAAACGAAGAACATTGTTACGTTATATGAATCGACAATCGAGTATGTACTTTGTGTTCATATTGTTAAGTAGAATTTTATTTATATATATTATGCACATAATTGGCATAAATATACGATTTCATATAATAAGAATTTTTTATCCTACTTTATTTTTAGTAAAAAGTAAGGAAAATAGTAGCAAACCTAGTACTTCTGGTTTGAATACGGATACAGATAAAACTGACGATAAGGACAGAAATGAAGATGAAACAAGTCCGAAAAAAGAAGATTTATTAATGAAAATAAAATCATTAGCTCTTATAGAAGATGACGACATTGACAGTGATATTGATGAAGAAGAAATTGATAATTTTGGCAGTGACGTTTATAACATGTGATAAAATTTTTTCTAAATAAAAAACTGTGTAATAAAATTATAAAATATGATCTTTTTCAAATCAACAAAACAAAATTAATAATTCTATCATAACAAATATAATACGACGAGTTAGTTGTAGATTAAGTTAATCAGAGTTTTTCAAAACTATTTTTACAATTCTTTGAAAAACATTCTCAACAAATATTGATGCTTTTAAAAATTATTGTATTATTATTTATTGGCAAAAAGATGAAGAAAATTCAATGAATCAAAAGTAAAAAAAAAAGTTGGAAGTTATAAATAAAATATTACATTAATTCACTGATAAATGCTCGATAGTTTCTAGTTGTTCCATTTCGATTTTCTTGTAAGAATCGTATTGTACTCTTAGCCGTTCCAGTTCTACAGACTTTTCCAAAATCAATGCCTACAATGAAAATAGGCGATAATCGATCATTGGCGATATTAATGGTCCAATTTTAAATTAATTTTGATTACAATTGATTCAATTAACTAGCAATTTAACTTAACTAGAATTACAATAAATTTTCCAACTATACATAACTCTTTTTTAATCTAATCTTTCCTTTCGTATGTTAAACAATAAAAAATTAATTATTCTATTGATATTAATAAATGCAGATATTCGGTAAATTAATTGTCAAATCAATTAATCGGAGTTTGAAGAAATGTTCAAAATAGTCAAATTTAATCATAAATAATAATTAAATTTAATCATAATTAGTGGCCAAAAGAAAAACCGATTACGAATATCGGCCAAAGATAGCATAATTCTTGTAATCGTCTATCATTTAAACGATGAATACACGCTGGTAAATATTAGGTATGTCTGGTATGTAATTATTTAAGAACCTCCATTTGTTGTTTCTGGGCTTCTCTTTGCTTCGCAACGGAACGCAGCAGATTCCGCGCGCCAATCGTCTTCATTTTTTCTTTCTCCACCTCCTTTGCTAAATTGTCCAATATTCTAATGAATTCGTCGGAATTCTTTTCAAATTCAGTAATCTCTGCAACGTAAAAATTCTCATTCGTTGCAACAATCGTTGTTCATACTTTTGAAGCGATATTAGTAATTCGTAATTAAATACGATCAACAATAAAGCATCGAAGTGCAACTTTTTAAATGGAGCTCAAATTAAAGAGAATATCAGACTTTGGTATCAAATAAATCGTTTATTTTGTATCATAATTTCATTTACATTTAATTTCTCGTATAATATATTCCAAATACATCTGTCGAGTTATATTTCTTTCACAAATTAACATTTTGATCGATAATATAAATAATATAATCGATAATATTAATAAATTATAATTGATATTAATATATTTCTATTAATTTTTAGATTAATTTTAATCTTGGTTTAAGTTACTTTTTGTATCTTTCCAGTTTTAGTCTCAGTTCCATTAATGTGCAAAATTAACATTAAAGTAGAACATGATGCTTGTTTTCTTGTTTGACTTTTGATCTTGTTCTAATTCTTAAAACTAAAAAATGAGTCAAACCGAGATTAAAGTTAATCTACATTACTAGAAATAGACAAAAGTTTAACGAAAGTTCGAAGTCGTCCCATCTACTTTCGAAAACACTATTATACCTTCGAGTATCATTTTATCCTTATTGTTCAACGGATAAAATGATATTCGTAGGCACTCAGGTATTCTCAACACGCCAAAAAGTGTAGATGTGCTTTCTTGTGCAGGAATCGTAAAACGGTGACGATATATTATATAATTGTGCGAAGAGTGAGTAACAATCGGTCAATCAAGTAAATTCATTGCGTCGCTTCGCTGTGACGTCACTCGCGAACGCAACGCAACTTACTGGACACGAAGCTCTGACACTCCTCCTTCAGCTTATTCGTTTGATTCGCCGCTTCCGGCTCTAGGACGCGTATTTTGCTCAAGTCATCGATATAAACGCCGTATCTCGCCAACAAGTCGGCCATCTTCTCGAGTTTACGAGAACGACATCACGTGATTTCGAGCCTCATTCCAGGGTTGCGTTCCAAAATTCAACTCTGTCAATTCGAGTATTATTTTATCCTTGTCGGTCACCGAACATTGAATAAAGATAAAAGATACTCGGAGTTGACAGAATCAAGTTTTAGAACACATCCCAGATGATTCCGGGAACGCGCGGGCGATGCTGATTGGTCAGCGAAGGTCGTGTCACCGCGATCGTCATGCCTTGATGCCTCGCGATATTCTCGATACTTTCGCATATCAAGTCGACCGTCGCTGTGTTCAGCGCGTAGCGCTTGTTCGCCGTTGTGAAGTTTGCCGTAATCGATGATGAATAAGCCGAAAATGGAGCGAAATGAAGATGTATTAGTATCTCGTGCGGCTTTCTCGCTTTCCCGACGTCAACGGGTGTGAAGCGAACGGCTAGACAGCGACACGAGTGCGTCGTTCACGTCGCTTCGACGCAAACGCGGATCTGTATTTACGGATTCGCAGTATTCGCACACGTTCAACGTTCAACCTGACTGACATCGAGAGGATCGATACCGCTCGTCCCCGTCCTCGCTCCATTCCGCGGCCGTCACGTTAGTAGTGCCTAGTGTGTTAGTACTCGCCTCGGTTTCGCCAGGATTCGGTCTCACCAGAATTTTTCGTTATGTCGGGCGAGCACAAGACGGAAATTAAATACCCGTCGGAGTATGTCAAATTGAACATCGGAGGCTCGCTTCATTACACCACCATAGGTACCTTGCAGAAGCATGATACCATGTTGCGTGCAATGTTCAGCGGTCGCATGGAAGTGCTCACCGATTCCGAAGGTGAGGTGTTTCTTTTTACAACGTGCGATTTGCAATTTCCGACGAGTGTTGACTCGAAATTGATGAACCTTGAATATCGATCGGTCCTGCGATCCTAATCAAAAAACTTCATCATTTTAATGTGGTGGGAGGCACATGAATTTGTTTGATTTGAAAAAAAGAGATTGTGTGATTTTTTTTGACATTGTTTCCTAAGAATTTTGATTTCATCTTTTGTTACTTTGTTTATACCTTCCACTGATCACGATCTCTCTCCGTAGGCTGGATATTGATTGATCGGTGTGGCAAACATTTCGGAACGATCTTGAACTTTTTGCGAGACGGCTCGGTTCCGCTGCCAGAAAATACGAAGGAGATGGCGGAATTGCTCGCAGAGGCAAAATACTACTGTATCAGCGAGCTGGCGGAATCCTGCGAACAGGCGCTTCTACGAAAAGAACGAGAAGCAGAGCCAATCTGCAGAGTCCCTCTCATAACCTCTCAAAAAGAAGAACAATTACTCATAAGCAATACTACTAAGCCTGTGGTCAAGCTGCTCATTAATAGGCATAACAATAAATATTCCTATACAAGGTAATGTTAAATGTTACTTTATAGTTGTAAATATTGTGATGTTTTATTATTCCTTTATCTTTTATAAATCCAAGTGTTTTATAGCGGCATTAAAACCTTATCTACAATGTACTCTTTATTTCCTGTTTTATTTTTTATTTCTTTTTATCTCTTTCTATTTCTTTGTTTTCATCCAAGAGATATTTTCATAAGTATTATGATATTTCAGATTCCTTTCTTATTTTTTATGAATTACAATCTAAGCGTTTTCATTATAACTTAATATTCTTTGTTTTCTTAATACTCTTAATACTCTTTATTTTTTGCTTTTTGTCACTTTGTATCGCTTGTTCTTTTGCTTATCCTGTTTTCTCATTTTCTGTCGTCAGAGGTAAAAGTTAGGTTAATTCTATAATGTGCTTTTTCTTTTCTGTTTTGTTTTTGTTTGTCTTATTGACCAAAAAGGCAAGACACAAACAGAGAAAAACAGCAAGAAACAGGAAACAAAGAGCGCATATTGTAGAATTAGCCTTAAACTTCCAAAGAAAAAAAACAATTGTCGATAAAAAACCAGTCACAAAGAAAGAGAGAGGGGAAGGGGGGGAGGAAAGACAAGAGATAAAAAGCAAGATACAAGAAGCAAACACACATAGATTACATTATTGAACACATAGATAGAACACATTATAGATTAGGGTTAATATACAAGCAATTTAAAGTATAACAAGAGAAACTGATAAAAAGTATATTGTATCTCTTGGGCTACTTTCTTTTTAACAGATGCAGTCCACATAAATATTCATCATTAAAGTATTCTTCATTGTTATTCATTAAATATTAGGATAGAATAACATTCGTCGACTGTGTTTGCTAAAAGAAAATATGTTGCATTCGGAGAGCACACTATTAACGTCATTCTATCTTTATCAGTCATTTCATTACACATAAAATAAGAGTAGAATGATAATTCTACCAAAAAAGCACAGATAATGCACTCTCTGAATGCAACTATAATTTAAGTATATCATAAACTAATAAAATAAATACTAATTAATAATAATAAATAAAACTCATAAACTCTTAAAATAGCTCACAACTTCTTGTATATTATATTCATTTTGTTTTAGTCTTACCTGAAATTTCATTGTGAATCTATTATCAATTTTAACTTTGGATTTATGATTTAAATATTCTGTATATTCCAATACTGAAGACATTCTACTGTTAACTTTTTATTTCGGGACATTAGTCTCACAATGTTCTCTGATTTGATATTCTTTCTAATAATCTGGTTTTATTGTAAGCGAAATATTTATTAATACTATATTAAAGGATCCAAATTAAGGGTCGAAACATCTATATTGTAACTTCTATTAATATATTTTTGCACACTGATTACTCTATGTGCTCGTATTGGCTGATTTTTAATAGATAATATTTTAAATGCATGAAAAAAATTACAAATAAAGGAAATGTCATAATGTATATATAATTACAGCTGTATTATTGTCATAAATTAAGATTATTAAAGAATAAATGGACTAATAAATAAATTTAATTTTTACAGTACATCAGATGACAATTTACTAAAAAACATAGAACTATTCGATAAAATGTCGCTTAGATTCAGTGGCAGAGTGTTATTCATCAAAGATGTTATCGGCTCAAGCGAGATCTGTTGTTGGACATTTTATGGGCATGGTCGTAAAGTAGCAGAAGTCTGCTGTCATTCGATTGTTTATACAACCGATAAAAAACATACAAAGGTAATGGCATGATCAAATAATATAATTTTAAATTATGATTTAAAATTTATATGATTTTGAAATTATAATCAAAAATGCTTTTCTTTTTTCAGGTTGAATTCCCCGAGGCTCGGATATACGAGGAAACATTAAATATTTTATTGTATGAGCATCGGAATGGGCCGGATCAAGAGTTAATGCAGGCTACATCGTCACGTGGCGTGGTACCTTGCACGTCCGACGAAGAAGAGGGCGAACGTTCAGGCTTGGCTCGCCTTCGCTCTAACAAACAGAACACCAACTGACCCAGTCTTATTCTCCTCAATCCACCGCACACCGCGATCCTTAGTGTCGTTCGCTCTTTCAAGACACGAATTAATATAAAATAAGACGAAACACAAATGTATACCAAATGCGAATACTACATGATATACTTGGTTATCGCCTGTCAGCTGAATCTCTTTTCGTTTTTGAAATGTATGGAATATGAGGAAAACTACAGTTAACTTTGGTTAACTACAGTCAACTTTGATAAATCATTTCGTTACATTTCTCACATCATGACACTTATTTTCAGATATAATTGCGCGCTCTAATTGTTGAATATATTTATAAGAAAAATGCCTCGTCCTTCTAATTATCGAAGGAAATGACACTGTCTTAAGTTATCTTCGCCATTCTTGCTATACAAGCGTGTTTGTAAATATGCAATTAAGAATGGCATCTTATTGATTTCATCTGGAAAATTACGAAAAGAATGTAGCGTCTATGCGCTTACTATTATGTGCCAAATCGTATTAAATCCACGACAGGAATAAGTCCAAGTTGCCATTCTGTGACTGATGAAATTATTTATGAACTTATACTCTGACAACTTTTAAGCAGTCATCTAGATTAACCAAATTGTTATAAAAAATTTTTTTATGCAAAACTAGAGGACTGCATTGTTACCTGTTATAAGTATTATTATTTTATTATCATTATTATCATCACTATCATTATCACTGTCATCGTCATTATTATATTAATTTGTCATAATTATTAATTATTATTACTTATTATTCTTATGTCATTGTCTACATTATTGCGATAAATTTTTCATCATGTTTATATTGCTCTTTCTTACAAACTTACATAATTTAATATCTTAAATAAATCATATATATTATATATTTGAAACATATATATTGTGTTATTTAAATGTGCGTTTCTCAACGAGTCCGAAATTCTATTAAACTGCTTAAAGGATGATGTGGAGTAAACACTGCCAGTACAAGAAAATTGAAGTCTAATATCAGTTATACGACATATTGGAAGTACACATTTCGAATATGTAATTTTATTCCAATTGAGCTATAAGTGTTAAACGTAATTAAATATTAAATATTAAGTATTTTTCAGGATTTTCAGTTTGAATGAATGCAATAGATACAATATATCTGAATTTTAATAAACTAGTTTAATTTGAATTTTTTCTACTAACACGTGTGCGCGCGCGCGTGTCATTCCAAGTATATTATTTCACTGTATAATTGCCGTAATTCGCATATATATATATATATATCGGTGATTAATTTTTTTTACTAATTTACACTTTCACTTATGTGACGAAATCGGAGCGACAATCTGAATCGGAGTGTTTCGGATGTTGATACGAGTAACTCAATATCTATTGATCGTATGGTGATTAGGAAACCAGTTTTTCATTTTATAATAGAATAATAGAAGATAAGTTTGCTCAATTTTTCCGAAGATGTTAGATAAGTGAAGGTGGAATGTAAAACAACAGACTGTGATTACACTGGCACGGCATATACATATGTGTGTATATATATTATTTTTGTGTATCTTAGTGTTAAAAGATGAGAGATATTCGTAATCCCACAATTAATAAAGGGACCACATGTATCGTGTTGCATACCTACTACATCGTAGGATACTTTTCATTCATATCTGTAATACATATGTTATATATTAAATCGAATATATCTATGTTGAATAAAATGATTTATAGATTTCCCTATCTTTCTTTATGATTATATAAACAATAAATTGTAAAGAATTGAATATAGAAAGATGATAATAGAATAGATTTATGTACCTTTGAGAGATTTTCTTAGAGAGAGAGAGAGAGAGAGAGAGAGAGAGAGAGAGAGAGAATATATGTACATATTAACTATTTACACAATTACAAATTTGAAATCATGGTACAAGTATGACGATATGATATGGAACATGAGACAATAGTTAAAATCAATAATAGACAAATAAGCAAATTTTAGACACGCAGCGAAGTTAATTCTGGAAAACCAGATTTATTCCGTTATTTGTGCGAAATATATGTGTAATTTAATAAGAAATGTTATTAGTTAACAAAGAAAATGTATATGTAAGATTTTAAAAATGAAGCATTAAACTTCTTTCGTGTGGCAAGAGAAAAAATGTAGAAAATAAAAACAAGCATTAAGATTGATTCGAGCGACATGTATTATGAAACAAGATATTATACATAAGTGTATGACGGAGTTTGCAGTTAAAGACAGTATATGGGGTGCAAACCTTTTTTTTTCTTGAGACGGAATCGAATGTACATACACATGTTGCGGAGGTTGTCAACTCCTGAATTGGAAAGGCACGTCAGTTTTTTTCTGAATGATACTAAATATCGTTCGTCTAGTATCTATACGCTGTTCATCTTGCAAATGGTGTTTACATAAGAGTATCGTGATTGTTTTTGCATTTAACTATAAACCATTTCTTCGATGAAATTACTGTCTACTAACGACCGCGATTACACATGATTATACATGAATGTCGACAGAAGAATATATATATATATATATATATTGGTGGAAAATGTTGCAATTGTCGCAAAGATTTCACTGGGTTGATTCATATCTCTATCTTCTATAATAATTGCGTCACATAATTTTAATGTTTTATATGAATCTTTACAATGGAAACACAAAGATTCTGATATTTCTGCATTACGATCGAAACAGGAATCTTTATGCAACGTGAAAGAGTCTTAAACTGTAAAAAATATGACAGTAGGTCTTTAGTTGTTCAAGTATTGCCTATTTACGATTTATGTTAATTATGTTAATACATAAATCATAAGCCCAGCAAATGAGAATGGATTAAAATGAATTGAAATGGATTCAGATTTTCAGAAATATTGACGAATGTTAAAATGACGAATGCTTTTCATCTTGAATACATTTTTATTCATTTATAGAAATGCGGAGCACATCTCTATGCCTTTCAATCTAAAAATATTGCTTTTTTCTGTATAATACTTCAAAATTGTGAATAAAAAATGTAGTTTTTTAATCCAATTGATTGTATCCAATTGAATTCAATTAAATCCAAAAAAAGTATTCGCTATTTATATAAAATACGCATTCGAATAGAAAAAAATTTTAATCCATTTTAATCCATTCTCGTTTGCTGGGAGATGAACTCCGAAAAGTTCTTGACGTATGCGAGTATCGGCGGTTAGCGCCACATCAGATAATTAATTTATTTAAAATCAATAATATTATTTTCTTAGACCAAAGTTTTACAGAGGACAGTCTCCATGCTTAACGCGCTCTCTCACTTCGCTCGTGTTCATAGTAGGTAGAGATAGATCGAGTGGAGGAGCTTGTACACGGCACGAGTAGATCTAAGAGCAAAAATATACACTATATCTTTATCTAATTAGTGCAGAAAACTGAATTTCGATAAATTCATCGAATACCATTGCTTTCGTTAGCTACACGAAAAACGGAGATTTGCTCCCAGATATAATATGCCCTATCCTCTATTTGCGTTTGTCGAAATACTACAAGTATCTTGCACTTATTATATAATACCAAATATTTCGCGTATCTCCAAATACCAGAAGGAATTTTGCGAATGTCATGATATCACGAATACTCCGTTTATCAAAGTACTGTCAGCATCGCGACACAATAGGATAAGTATTCTGAATTTACCAAAATACCATAACCATCATGCATTTACCATAACATATCGCGCAATTTTTCAATCTTACAATTGTAATCCCTCTTTCTGTAAGACAAACACCTTTATCAGTTTCCCAAAGCTACGATGTATCTCTCTCTATACACACACATACACATACACGCGCGCACGTGTGTGTGTGTGTGTGTGTGTGTATATATGATTCTCTGTATAAATTTACAAAAAACATACTTTTGACATGTGCAAATTTCCAAATTCAGATCGTTTCAAACTACTACAGCACTTGACGTAGCTTAACACAAGTACATATTTTTTTTTTGTATTTCTTTAACGTTATCATTAAGACAAGATCACAAATTGGTAACGCGTTATACGCAATTGCCTTAATTACATAATACAATTTAAACATCTTAAAACTATTCGCACACCCATCCATTCAACCACTATACCCAGGGATTCAAAAATAAATTCTATTTCGTAAAAATAAGAGATAAATGTATTGACTTACAAATATAAATCCTATAAACTACATTTATAAATATATACATTTATGTGTACTAATCTAAAAACTCAAGGAATATACTTTGTAAGTGCAGCTGGAGCAAATGGGATGATATGAACAAAAATCTAATTATTTACCTTAAATATATTAATTAAGACATGGAATATAATGATTAGAAGGATTTAACAAATCATTACAGTTTGAAATAAATGATACTGTGATACAGACATATATTAATAAACACTAAACTGATATCTTTCTTATTTAATGTGAATTTTATTTATTCAAACAAAATATATATATATATGTATATATCGCGAAATATTATATATATATGTACCGTGATTCTAATTTTATTCTTATATTCCTATAATTTGAGAAAATACCAGTTACAATGTATGTATCAAATATCTATTAAATAGAAAAAAAGAAAAATTGAATAAAACTCTTAATTTACACTAATGTTATTCACTTATCATTGTTAATTAATATTGCGTATTTATGTTTTCGTTAGTATCACTGCATCATTTATATAAAATTAGTCTCAATTAATAAATTTATGTATATTAAAAGTTGTTAGAGCTACATTAGAACTATATTAGAACTTACAATAATACATTATGTTCCATAAAACTAAGAGAGAACATTATATTATACATTTAAACTAAGAGTACGTATCAATCATCGTACTTTTGTCAATAAATGCTTGTAAAGAAATGAACAAGTTTTATTTATAATTTTGACCAGAATTATTTTATATTATTATTTTATACACAATTTCTTTCCCTCCCTTTTTTTCTGTCATATTCCTCAGTTCTAAGGATTGATTCCAAATTATACATAATAAAATAAAAAAATAGCCCGAATGTTGAATTTAATATATATATATATTAAAGTTCAATATTAAACAAATTGTATTAAATACAAATTGTATTTAACATTATATGACAATAAAAATATATGCACAGGATATGATCTTAAAAGAGAAATTTCTCTTCATATGCGTTATTTATTTTATTGTGATCGAGAAATTATTCATATGCGTTATTAACAAAACTAAGTTATATCATTCCCACGTGCTCCAATCTAGCAGTCTGTTAGCAGCGACGAATAACACACCTTACACACTATTTCATGTGCTTGTTACTGTATAACCAATTGGTTCCAGCTCTACACAACAATATAAAGTTGTTATATAATTTTACATAAACTCACATTCATTCGTCCGCTCCCGGAGATCAGTTCATGCGTGATGATTCCTAATTCACATAGCTGCCTCAGTTTTAGCACGTTTGCAGGGATTTACTGTGTTTTCTCCCGGGATACACTCATTGGTTTCCTCAGCAGTTGGCGAAACCGATCGCTTCTTTGTAACACATACCTCAGCAATGGTATTATTTTTAACAATTTCAGTTGCCGGTGATGTAAATTTAATTATTACGGCAGTCATGTTATCGCAGCCCGTTCCATCGCCAAGAGTATCCGGTGCAAGACAATGATCAAAGAGCTATAACACACATTAGATTGTTTATTCAGAAAGAATAAAGAATACTCTAAATGGTTTGAAAAGATGCATTCGAACATGTTTAAAAGTCATTTGTAATCTTTTAAGTTTGTAACGTCAATACCTCTTCGCAGATTTTCGAAATGTTTTCATAATTTTGTGATAAACGGGTGCGCACGAACTGAACAACGTTTTGACTGGTCATAAAGTTCCATATGCCATCGCAAGCTAGTATCATAAATTCGTCTTTCTCTGGATCGATTGTAATATGCCTTATGTCCGGTAGAGCCGAGATCATTTGTTCCTGGGGTGGTAATACCATATTTTGCTTATATGCATGATCACCGAGCGCTCTGGAAAGATTGAGGCCGCCATTCACTCTGCCGTCGTTTGTCACCTCTCCACCTGCTTTTACTATACGTTCCATTTCTGGTGCGTCTTCGGGTTTATGGTCCAGGCTAAGTTCGATCGCCTGGCCATCTCTGCATAGAACACACCGAGAATCTCCAGCATTAGCCACATACAATTCGTTTTCCTTGAGTATCGCTACAACTGCTGTGCATCCACTGTCCGAACCAGGCTACATAAAAAAGCCATTATACAATTATACATTAGACAAATTCAATAAGGAAAAGAGTCGCACTAATTAGAATTATAGATTATAGAAATTGGAGTTCCAGTAAAATTAGTGCAGAAATCTTTCTGAATATTCAATAAATTCTGTAATAAAATCGATATTATACCTTTTCAGTGTTCACCATGAGATCATCAGTATCATCATCAGAATCATCTATATCTTCCTCCTCTACTTCATCATCGTCATCTTCATCACTTTCATCCTCATCAACATCTTCCGTATCATCACCGTCACTGTAAAACGATTTAAAAGAGAAAATCTCAATTTAAAAGAAATATTCTCTTAAAAATTAAGCGTTTTTACAATAAACAATATGTACACACTTATACCTTTCAGGGACACCATCAAAAGTTTCATCATTTTCGTCATCATCATCGTCTTCCTCAGAATCATCACTGTCCTTTTTCAGTAGACTTTGATAAAGATCCACAGGCTGAATTCTTCTTCGACCACTGCTAGTTATCCGTTCTTGCTGATCCGCATCCCCGTTTTCCACAGGGATACAAGAACTGCTCGACACATTGTCTCCTCCACCTTTACTGCTGTCTGCATCTCCGATCCTCTTCGATTCTGCGCCATTAACTTCCACCTCATTCGCATTAGACTCCGCGCACGGTGGTGCCTTGCCTGGACTCGATACTTTCTCTTTTACATCTTCAGAGCTATCAGGCATATCCATAGATTTAGCAGTTTCTACATCCTCAGTAGATACCACTGGTGGAGACGCATGAGCGCTGCCGTTGCTCGTTGTCGAATCCAGTACTTGCTCAGCTTCATTACTTCCCGAACCATCGGAATCTTTTCGTTCCACTGTGCTAGACAGAGCCGATCCACACGGCTGGCTGGAACTACTTACGTCTGTTTCGTTCGTATTCCAACCGGACGATGAAGACGATGATGATGTTGGTGGCGGTGACGGTGAAGATGAACATCCTGCGCCAGAGGATGAACCACTTGCTTTCTCTCGTCCTCTCCGACCTCGCAAAAAAGGACTCGCGAATGCGCGTTTACCACATTTTTCGCCTTTCAGATTTTTTAGATGAGGATTCGACACCTCTGACTGATATTTTGCCATTACTTGCTCCAATGGCATTGTTGCCTCCATACACAGATTACTAACATTCTCTTCTTCATCTATACGCAATGTAACGTACGAAGATAATCTTATTAAGAATTTACTCGTGCAGATAAGGAGAAAAAATAAATTAGAGCTTGCAAAATATATAACTAGCAACAGTGTCTGTATAAAGGTAAATCCCGTAATAATGCATATCCTTAATATGAAAAAAAACGCACCAGATTCGTTCAAGTCACTCTCCTTTTTCTCTGATGTGGACGTCCCTGCGAGCTCTTTGAGAACATTGACTACCTCCGGTTTTGTAAGAGTTTCGTCGAAACCGAGAAAAGCATCTATTAAAGCTTGCCTAATGTCGCCTGTTTTATAAGCTTCTGTCTGTTTGATAAAATCAGGGAGATTACGTGCGCAATACGTAGCAACCTCGTGTCCTCCATGACCGTCGTATACGGCGAATAATGAAACGTTCTCATCGAAATCTATGCAACAATTGTGAGCATCCTGTAAAGAAAGTTACAGTTAGTAATCTTATCTTTGACAAAATTCCTTTTTCATTCCAGAGAAAGATTATAATTCGATCTTCTCCTTATCAGCTAAACTTCTTACACAGTTTACTTTTCCTCCTTTTTCATTCCACGTTGGAAAGAAAAGAAAAAATGGTGCAAGAAATTTAACTAAAGAGAATTCTATTGTCTTCACCCTCGACTACAACTAGAAAGTTTGGATTTAAAGCAAAAATTTTGCATAATTTGTATGATTGATATTATAAGGTTCTAAATTATAGATAAAGAACTTTCTTTTGTCAAAAGTTATAAAATGGAGGTTTACTTGTATTCTAATTTCAAACAGGATGCTTTAGACCTTAGGTATAATTTTCATAGCTGTAATTGAGAGTTAAATATTTGTTCTCTTACAAGAAAATTGATATACAAAATTTGCTCCACGTAATCAATTAATTTCCATTTGATAACGGTAATAAATTCCAACGGTATCAACGAATAGGAAAGATAAAAGAATTATTATTGTGTAATAATTTTGTCGTCCACACAGAAGGAAACTAATACAATACGCGATATCGAAGAAAATTAAAATCGTCAATAAGATAATAAATTTTTTTGACGAAAACAATTCCGCGATAATATTGATCGACGATGTTGCAAGGATCCCATGTTATCGAGCTATCTCGTCTGTTGGTAAATAAACGCATGAGTGGCAAAGAAGCCATCCACGAGCGTCGGATGCTGCGCCCGGGGCTCTCGGACATCATCGGCCACCCCCGTTCCCCGGCGCAGCGGCGAAGCTTCGGGGTGCGGGACGCACCTCGACCGCGCCGAACCGACGAGCGTGGTGGCTAGATAACCGGCAAAACACGCGAGGATCGAAACTAGGTAACGGTGGGATAAACGCGGGCGCGCTCGCGCGCGCGCGCGCACGTCGCGACCGTTGCCGCCGTCGCCGCTGCCGCCGCGACGACACAACTTCCCGCTTACCTCCTGACTGATCCGCCAGCCCTGCATGGAGCTCGCACCGTACGCGACATTCTTTCCAATTTCGTCGCTCGACTCCTTCTTCGTAATCGGCTCCGACAAGTACGCTCCCATCTTTTAAAATACCGGCTGGCCGTCGTGATACTCCCGCGGCGTCCGCGTAATGTGTCGCAACGTTTCCGCCAGAAAACAGAACTCACAAGCGTGGTACCACAGTCGTTTAACTAGCCTCCCATGACCGGTTTGGCTTTCTGTTTTCCGAGCGCGCTGCTGGCGCCAGCTGGGTCGCCGGAGCCACCTCCGCGCCGACTTGGCGGACTTGGCGGACTTGGCCGCGACGCGACACGATTTCGCGCCAAACTTAAAGCGACGTGCGCATGTAATAAGAGTCGGACGACCGGATATATATTCCATTCTCTTTCCAAGTCTGTAGTCCCTGCTCATTTGTGCATCGTATCAATCGCGTGTCCATTTCTATATCTATGTAGATGTAGATGAACTTTAATCTGTCTTTCAATTCTCAACTGATTTTAAGAATTCTTTTTTTAAGAATTCTTTTTTTATTACAAGTTTCATATTAAGATCCTATAGGCTTTCATGCTCCTCATGGAAAATAATTGATTTATTTTTTTTTTAAGAATTCTTAAAATTAGAGAAAAATAAAGAGTAAGTTGAACTGACATTAAAATTAATATTTATTTGTAAAAATGAAAAATGAACGAAGCTTCGATGAAGAATTGTCAGCTGTTTTATTTTTGTGAAAAAATGTGATAACCAAATAACGCATTCGAATGATTAAGATAATTATGTAATAAATATAATCCTTTCGTCATCAATTAAGTTATCGCTTTACGAGTTATCATTCGAAATAATTCAGGTACTAAACAAGAAAAAATTGAACGAATTGAATTTCGAAAATGAGATTCAAATCTTATTTTGTACAGAATTATACCATGTTCGAAATTGTCCCACTTTATCCTAAAATCGATAATTCCAACATTTCAGCACATTATCTTTATTAAACATCAAATTATGAATTATAAATTAGTGCATTAATATACGTTAATATTAAAACGTATTTTATTCAACGAAGTTCATCTATTATTATCATAGATATATCTAATGTTATCTTATTTTGGTTCTTGGGGCTTTTATCATAATTGAACGAGATGAAATTATAAAAGTGAGCTTTTGTAATTTCATCAATTTCATAAATTTATTATGTAATTTCATAAATTCATCATGTAATTTCATAAATTTACTAGAATATTTATAACTTCATTAATCACCTAGTGAATTTGGTCGCTTTTAATTTTTAATTTCGCTTCAAGAAATAATAAAATTAACTTTACTCTCGATTTAATTAATTAATTTTTTGACTTGTAGATATTCAACTAGACCAATGTCAGCACACATTTAGCACATTATAACTCATGTTAAATATAATATTTAAACAGGATTGTATTCGAAATGCACTCTTATCGATGAGCGTGTTTTTGTTTCTGACATTCTAAAAATATATGTAAAACGAACTATGTACTAAATGCGCATTAATATCGTTTTAAACGCGCATTTTAAATATAGTCCATAGAATTTCAGAAATAAAAGCGCACATTTATAGATAAAAGCACATTTTGAATAAGTACAGACTATCATCTTTCTCCATTTTTTAGAAATAGAGAAAGATAAAAAGTAAATTAAATCACGATTAGATAAAATTAAGTTACATTAATAGAAACAAGAATTGTATCTACCATCAAAATAGATTAATTTTAATCTCAGTTTTATTTACTCTGTATTTTTTATAATTTTTAGAATCAGAAAAAGATAAAAAATAAGTTAAATCGATATTAAAGCCCCTATATTCTGAAATTCTTAATGACAGTATAATAATGTCGTTATACTGTCGTTGCATAGTTTTTTTTACTACAAAATCTGTGCAGTGTAATGATATCGTTACTGTCATTAATGTACATTTTTATCAATGTAGATTAATTTTAATCTTGGTTTAGTTTACTTTTTATCTTTTTCTAGTTCTAAGAATTAGAAGAGGCTAAAAAGAAATTAACTTTCTAGAGAGAGACACGTAGTAAAATAAAATAAACTAGAGTTAAAGTTACTCTACATTTAAGTTTTACGTTTACTTTGATAGAAACGTATTTATGTCCATATCTATCAATGTAGATTAACTTAATTTTATTTACTCTTTATATCTTTTTCTAATTCTTAGAATTAGAGAAAGATAAATGCAAATTGAATCGAGATTAAAGTATCCGATATGAGTAAAAGAGGAAGAACCGATATAAGTAAAAGAATTCATCTACATCTATAGAAACGGATCATATGTTCATATTTACCGATCTAAATAAATTTTAATCTCTATTTAATTTACTCTTTATCTAGTTTCTTAGAACCAAAGGAAGATAAAAATCAATTAAATCAAGTCGCGATAAAAGTTAATCTATATTGGCACTATTGGCAGAAACGAACAGTGGGGAGTGATATCTCAATTAAATGCGGAGTGAAGTTAACAACGGGACGCGTAGAATATCGAGTCACTTTTGAATGTTTCGCGCTACATTCAAAATGGGGGAAGATAGCGCGCGCGGTCGCGATGAGTGTGAGTGTTGCGCAGGTAGATGTCGCGTCTCTTCGCGGTTCGCGGCACAACTAAACCAAACGATGGCCGAGGAGGGAAAGGGGATAAACAGTGGCAAGGAGGGGAGTGCGTGCGGAGTAGTGCGCCGGGGCAGTGAAGCGAGCCGAGCCTGCCGAGCCCGCCAGTCGTTCGGCGGAGCTCGGGGAGGTTAGGTCGGGTTACGCACCCCCGGATGCGAATGCTCGGTGGTACAGCACACCGTGACAGACGGCAGCGGATACACGCAGCGGTGACACGCGGCGCGAAGTCGCGCGATTACAACGGTGCCGCCGAGCACCGGTCTCGCTACCTTTTTCGTGCGCTCGCTGGCGAGCGTTCGACGTCACCGCCGCTGCGAGTAGTCGATCTCGTTTCAGTAACGGGGGCGAGTCTCGCTACGCCCGCTCATCCCAGCTCGTCGAGTCTCATCCCTTTAACGTCTCGCCACTCTCGCCGCCGCCGTCACCGTCGTCGTCGTCGTCGTCGTTGCCATCGCCTCGATTAGATCACATACGCGCGGCTTAGCTGTATCATCGCATCGTCGGCTCTCACCACGGCCGTTCGTGCATTGCACTCGTTGCACCTGTCGATACATAACACCAAAGGGAGCGAGGACAAGCCAGCACCGTGTGTTCCCGGCCTAGTGACCTGACCTTGGATCGGTCCGACCAGGTACGTCTGTCACTACTTACTTACACTACGCTTAAGCCGCGCACGACGTTTCCCCGAGGTCGGAAACGTTTCTTCCAGAGATATATTAACGGATTATGGCGGTGCAGGTGGTGCGGACGCGGAATTGAGATTGGTTGCGATACTATGGCAGCAACACGCATCCCCTGCTAATTCAGGGTGCTTAACGCGCGTACGTGTTGCGGATAAGAGGATTTGCAGCTCGCGTTTATAGGCTTAAGTCTCCTTGGATGCTCGATATATCTGTAACGGTACATCTTTTGCACGGAGTTTCCCGATACAACGACCCGCTCTGCTCGACAAATGAACTGGTTGTATATCGATCTAAAAGCGTTTCCCATATCGTGAATTCCCGTGCAATTTCAGAATGACGCTCTCACCGCGTGGCTCAGTGGTTACAGGCTAATTCTTTTTAATCAAAATTGCCCTGGGGGAAAATTTTCTCATCGATCCAAGGGAACTTTCTGCGGTGGAAAGTTTTTATCTTTTGGCTTTTAGCTCGCGACGGTCCCGCTGCGGTTCGCGGATAAAGGCGCGCTAAGCGCGGAAATGTAGAAATTCCTCGGCAAACGAGTACTCTTAACCATGTATATGCCTGCAATTAAACTCTTCCCGAGAGCATTTATCCGTTATCACGTGAAACCGCGAGGCGAGCTATCTAAACTACCGAAGTATCGCTCCATCGCGCGTGGTACCGCGATGTCTGACCCGTCGCGTCGTCATCTACTGCTGTCGTTGTGAATGTCTGTTTATACTACTGACGATCATTAATTTCTCTCGTTACGTGAAATATTTCGCCGCCGAGCGAACGTTCGTTCTTTTACTGTGGAAAACTAAGAAAAGAGGAGAATATTTCACATGTAATCGTGACTTTGCAACTATTCTGGCTTCGAGATAGGAGGTACTGCGTTGTTACATAGAAAAATGTTCTGGTTGCAAAATTGCAACAAGAAATACAATCAAAACCAATTCTGATCGTATGAATCGGAATTCTGATTATCGCAATTGAATTTCTGGTTATCTTCACTAGGATGTTTAACTGTTATTGCCTGATTTTTATTTTTCTGGTTGTATGTATCTACCAGAAAAGTACAAATACCAGGATTCTATTAAATGCAACAAGATTTTTAACATGTGTATCTGATTTATATCTTTTTGGTTGAATCTATCAAAATTCTACTGAATACAATGAGATTTTTCTAATTATAAGTGTCTGATTTATATCTTTTTCGAATCTATCAAAATTCCAATGAGTGCAATGAGATTTTTTAACTATAAGTATCTAATTCATACTTTTCTTGTCGAATCTAGTAGAATTCTGATAAATGCAAGATTTCTTATATGTGATTTGAACCTTTCTAATTGAATCTACCAGAAGTCCATGGACTTTCAATGAACGCAAGACATTTTGATATAATACACGAATTCTCTTCTAATTCTTGCTATCCAAAGCACAGATACGGAATGGAATTGTAAGACGCATCCGCACTCGGGAATTAATTGAGTTGAAATTAATTAAATGACGTAGAGATACCAGAGATTATATGTACAAATATATCGCGTGCGCGCCACGACAGGATTCATTCAATTTGCCCGCGGGCGTTTCTATTTCGCGACAAGTTGCAAAGTGCCGTTTCCAAACGGCCGATGGCAAGTGTCCAAATGCGAAGAGAATAAGCGTACGTAATCTTACAACGTTAGTTTTAATTATCCTCTTTGATCCGTCCATCTAGAAGTCATTATTTGCTCTATACAAACTGTTGCATGTGCCCCATGCGACGAATTCGTCTTCGATTGAGCGACGCGAAACAATAAAAGTACTTCCAAATGATGTGCGAAATCAATTTTATAAATATTGCGCATTATTAAAGGTAACCTTTTTAAGAGTTTTTTTTGTTTCACATAAATTTTTGGAAAACAAAACGGCGTTGAAATTATTTATTGACTTACGAAATTATTTGATCAACGACATCTTTCCCAAATATATGATTGCATTTGCTCTTAATTTTACAATTAATATTAATCAGATTAATTGAAATATTCGTGTTGAATGTTAGTATTTAATGACGAGAAGCTGCTTCTTGATTTGATCTCGCAACACGAAATTATCACAAGACAAATTGATATCTGTGTTTTGTTGCTTCCTTATTTGTAATTTTTGCATCCTTTAACTTCTCTCGTATTCATAAAATGAAAATGTGCAAGGAAGTAGAAAATGTTTTTTTTTTTTTGATAGTAATTTAATAGGATCTTTATGTTTATGATTTTCTTAGAAATTGCAATTCCCATCCTTCCGATTTTGATATTTCAACGCATTTCTGATATGTGTAACTTAAACACGGGAATGGCAAATATCCAATACAACCTGTTTATGCACTCTAGAAATTATAATTGTTGGTGTCATGAAATATCTTGTGCTCCGAAATATGCTGAAATATTTTTTTCCTTGATATTTCCTTGATCAGAATAATGAACCAGTCACAGTTAATTACAGATATTTTTTTAAATATTGAAGTGTAACCTTTATGTTTATATTAATAAATATTAAAATATAACATTTTTGTTTATATAGGAACAATTTATCTTATATCTTTTTCTTCCAAAACATTATAGGTTTTCACACATATATAGTTTCATATGTGAGATAAACCGTTATTTGTGTCATGTAACGGACATGTGGGAATTTCCTCCGTCTGGTATTCTTTTTCCCGAATAAATTGTTCAGATTGATCTCGAAATCCTTATTCGCGGTAACCACGGTCCAAGATATTACAGAAAAGCGATTCGTATAAAAATGATTCCTATAACAATCATCATACGATCTCGATTTAATTTTTATTACAATCGAAGAAATGTGTTGCAAATTCGAATTAATAATAAAAGTCCTGATGCAGTATATAATGTAAGCGTTTCGATTGCATTTAATTTTTTAATAACTTTATTACTTTCTGATAGAATTAAAGACCTACTTAAAATTAATGATAAAAATGATAAAATATAAATTTATATAATTTTACGAAAAAGAGATAAGATTTTTCAGATTTTCGAACAAGTAATTCTAAAGCCTAAAAGCTCTGCTTTCAAACCCCGTGAAGCTTTTTCTTCCACTGTGCTTCTGTTTCAAGTGGAACGTACCATTCTAACTGGAACGTGCAAAATTAATGAAAAAGAAATTCGTTAAGTACTTCATTCAACCTTTATTGCCTATTGTCCACTTCAACTCGATCACGAAGAGAAGGAAAAGAGTTGTAGGAAAAGAGTATTGTTATTATTTTCTTGAATTGAAAAATGAATGACTACCAGTGTTCAAATAGGTCGACTTAAAAAACATATGTTATTTTGCTCTTTTTTTGAAGAAAAAAAAAGATGATTTTTATCTTCCATGTATATTTTATTCGGAAGAATATCAATTATGTATATTATGTTTCACAAAAAAAATCTTTACATCTAAGTGCATTAGATTGAATAATGAACAATTTCTGTGCATAATTTTGACGTCTGTTGTGAATCGATGGTTTACAAACTATAGTATGAAAAGTAGAACTATAATTATATTATTATCTTAATTTTATCACTGAATACATGTACTATTTGATTAAACATACTATACTGATATTTTACGTAACAGATCAGTGAGACGTTAACGTTAAATATTGCTTTTGATGCTTTTGATTATTCAACGATTTTACCGGTTAAAACGTTTTATCAATAAATCTTGTCGAGTTAAATATAAGATCGTTGATTACTAGACTTTTATTCGCTTTTCGCACGAATGTAAAAAAATAATTTGGGATCACGACAATGGATGTATATTCGATTGACCTTTTATACAGTGACTATTCTTTCCCTTGTCTTTGTGATTGTCCCTCGCGTGCAAAAGCATTAATTAACGGTTGGCATTTTACTAGATACGAGTCCATGTCGAGTTTCCACTGTTATTACAGTATCGTCTCGCAAATCATGTAAACTAGTTTATTGTTCCGCTGCAAGCTTCGTATCGCGAAAATTGCACAGCTGCCATGTTGCGCCGGCCGGAAAATTAATCACGCGCGATGGCGAATATGTTCTTTCCATATTTATTATTTGGGACACAATACAACTAGCGTCACTACCGTTGTAGTTTGTTGACAGATATTGATAAAAATATTCACGGTTCGCGCAATCGAATTACTAATTAATCTCGGCAAACACAACAGTTGGAATTGCATTCGCATTTCTATTAAAAAATTCTATTCCATTTTATTCGTTATTTTATTATTCTATTATTATATACATATTATTTCAATGAATTTGCATTGTACGTGGGCGTTGTTGTTTTACGAGTGCAGCTGTTAAACTTAGCTACATGGTCTTGGTATGCAAATTATTACATTTATAAAATATTCGTTTATCTTACGGAGAATTGTAAGATTTACTGCTACTTGCAAAAATTAATTCTAACATGCGAGAACAGAAAAGAACACTTAGATCCGTATTTATAGACGTATTTCTGTCGAAGAACTGAGCTATAATACCAGTCTCGAGAAAATTAATCACGCACGTTTTTTTCTCTTACCCTAATTGTAAGAGAAAGATGTGATTGCAATTACTCTAATTTAATTATAATTTATATATCATTTTTTGTATCAAATGTATTTTTTGATAGTACTATAAATATAATTTAATTATTACTAACATTATAGCAATTATAAAAATGGAACTTATATATATATTATAACTATAACTATTTTATCATATTTAACAAATATTGTCACAAATATCAAACACTTTTTTTTCAGTGTTGTTTGACTTATAGAATATTGTCTTTTACAGTTTACTGTAACATTTCTATATAACTTGAAAGATAATATTACATAGTCGTCTTGTATTTTTTTATCGATTTAATAACATAGCGCTTATTTGAAATTAATTTGCTCTTATTGCTTTCTCAAACTTAATATACCCAGATGTGTTAAATGTAATTTTGTTAACTCTAGCTTACT